CATCAGAGCTCTGGACTAAGGACATTGGCAGATTTGAGCATCGCCGAGTCTCTTTTCATCTTATGAAATTGGGATAGTTAGCCCCTACTCCTCCCAGTGTAAACAGCTAGCCCGGGCCCCCAGAAGGAGATGGAAAGCCACAGTCCTGGCTTCTACCCTCTGGCAGAGCGGCAGCCCTGCCTGCCTGACTTTGATGCCCCATTAGGGTGCCCACACAAGCAGCTGGAGCCCCACAATGTCATGGGGCTCCCTTTCCCTATTTTTTTCCTCCCACTCCAGTGTCTGGCTTCTTAGACAAATCTAGGCCAGGATAGAGGCGTTACCTGTGCAAAGTCAAGGGGATTCCCACTGGGGGCTGGGAGCGTCAGCCTTAATAAGTCTAAAATTCCAGGCAAGGTAAGGGAAGAGATCTTAGCACTCTTGGTGTCCGTGCTGGGAGGTCCACAGGACACCCATGACCTTGGTGCCATCCCTTAGGCACATGCCTTCTGGGACTAGAGTTGAAAGCTGCCACCAAGTGCTATTGGGAAACTTGACTTGGAGATTCAGGCATATGATCGATGACTCCACACAAATGCCCAAGGGACGGTGCCTGACACTGAGCTGGGCACCTGGTATAGAGGATCAATAATCAATAATTAATCTCTGAGAAAGTTCACCAGGGTGGCCTGGGCCATGGTGTTGATGGATTGGGGCAAGTGAGTCCCCTTTTTTGACCCTCCGCACAGGTCCCACTAACTCCCCTCCTCCAGGTTCCCACAACCAGCCCAGCTCCAGAAGTGACAGGACTGGCTGGGAGTGGAGGGTGAAGCCAGATGAAAGTGCTTTAGTTCCCCTCAGGGGCTACAGAGGGGCTCTTGTGATGGGGACCACTGAGCTGCAAAGCCCTCCAGCCTCCAATTTAGGAAGATCCAGATGGATTTAGCAAGGTGTCCTGGGGAAGATTTTGAGTTCAGAGACACAATATGCTCTAGGGACTCTGGGAGAATTGTGTGCTGCTTAAAAAGTAAGAAGACCCCTCCCTTTACCCCTAATTGAGAGACATCAATAGGAGGCAGGAGGTTGGCTGTGAAGGGAGCCCCTCCCCATCAGGTAGGGATGGTGCAGGCTTCCTGAGGCAGAGGCATGGATGAGATTTCTGGCTCCACTGTTTCGATGAAGACACTGGGGAACATGGCTAAGTTTTGGCAAAACTAGGAGATGAACCCAGGAGTCCTGGCCACCTGCTTCTCCAATGCAACCCCATCTTTTCCTCCCCCACATTCCCGCCCCATCAGCTTCCAGGCCGGGAGCCCCAGCTGGCGGAGGATGTTTTGCTCTTTGGCAGCTGGGATTTGTAAATATTTATAGGAACATGGAACAGATCAGTGGCTGACAGGCCCAAGGAGCGGACAGGGACCTTACCCAGAGCTCAGTAGCTTCACTCCCCCTTCCCCACACCCTGACCTGATTTGAGGGAGCCCAGTATGACAGAGATGGGGGCAATCAAGCAGGGCATGGGGCTGGCAGCCTCCATATTCAAAATCACAAGCTCGAAGGATGTCTGTGTCCATCTGCTCTGCCCCCACACTCAGCCACTCACATCCTCCCACCCTCAACCCCCTCACCTCACCTCACCTCACCTCACCTCACCTCACCTCACCTCACCTCACCTCACCTCACCTCACCGGTGCACTCACACCCCAAGGCCACACTGACCCCGCCCTCACACACATTCTTTCAACACTCATGTGCATTCATTGTCACACTCATGTGTATACACTTTTTCTAACTTCCACATCCACATCAATGCTGACTGTCATGCTCACATCTTTGCACACACACCAGCTCACTCACAAACCCACTGGAGTCCCAGGTCCCAGCCACTCCCCGCAGGTCTTAATCACAGGTCCTGGAAGGGAACCTCCTGTAGGAGGTGGTGTGTGTGTGTGTGTGTGTGTGTGTGTGTGTGTGTGTGTGTGTGTAGGAAGCAGAAGGGAGTAGGCCCTGAGGTCAGGGGGTAAGGAAGAGGGGAGAGGAAGGAGTGGATAGAGAGTATGGACCAAGAGCCATTCAGAGCTGACATCAGACCAGAACGGAAGCAAGACAGAGACAAAGGCAAGGCAAGGAAATGGAGACTGACAAAAGTCAAGGCAGATGGAGCAGGAGCTGGGGACAGAGGCCCCCCCTACACTGATAAGCTGTCACATTGCTGCACCAGTGGCCTGTGAGACCAGCAGCACCCCCACAGCTGAAGCCTCTCCCCTCTGGATCTTGTCACTGTGGCTTTGCTTTGCTGCTTGGGCAGCCGGGAGTGGTGACAAGCAGGGAAGACAGTGCCCAGGGTAGCTGAGTGGAAGACAGTGCCCAGGGCAGCTGGCTGTGCCACTCTAGCCCGGCTGCTAACTCACCCATCAGTGCACATCTCGTCACCCACAGGGGCCCAGATGAGACCAGTGACCAGCCTGGCTGCCTTTTTCTCACAGAGCCACAGCAGGGGCAGAGAGCCAATGGAACCACCCTCCCTGAAAGGTAGGCAGTGCTAACCAGGCCTGGCCCACACCTCTGGCCTCTGGAGCTGGGTTTGGGAACCATGGGTTAACTCTTTGCTTCCAGACACTCAGGACCCATCAGACATGGACCAGAAGCAGTGTATGAGGCAGGGCTTGAGGAGGGGGGTAGGGAAGAAAGCCACTGTGAGAAACCAAACAGGCTCTGGCATAAACTTTTTATTTCATCTCCTTTACTATGCACAAGAATGATGTCCTCACGCCCTGTATCTCTGGATGCTGTTTTAAATAATCGTCCTTCTCGCCTGGGGTCTGTCTCAGGGTATTTGTTCTGGGGCGTCAATCAGTCAGTTTGTGCTCTGTAATTTGGAAACAACCATTTCTATAAAATCAGGAAGGCAAACAAATAATAATAATAAGCAGGGAAAATTGCATTGACTGCGTTTTCCTGTGTGTGTGTGTGTGTGTGTGTGTGTGTGTGTGTGTGTGTATTATCAGCGCAGCTTTCCTCCCATCCTGATTGATTCATGCTTTCACAGGTTCATTCATATATTTACTCAACAGCCATCACTCAGCCAGGTGCCAGGCCCTGTGCTGAGTCCCGGGAGCCAGTGCAAAAGCCAGACAAGGTTCTTAACTGCACAGTGTTTAGAGTTGATGGAAGAAGACAAACAAATGCCCAACAAAGCGTGATGTCCCCAAGGGGCTAGGGAAGCACTGTCTGGGTGCCCTGCCTGGGGACCCAGATGTCCTGCTCTTCCAACTGAATGCCCGAAAATGACACAGAATCTCTCTTGTCCCAGGATCAACATTTCCCTCTCACCCCTCCTTGTCTCTGCAGGTCTGCCCTCCTGGGCAACCAGGCCATCTGAGAATGGTGGAAAGAGTGTCAGTGTGACACTGAAATCTCAGCTTGGACACTCACTGGCTGGTGACCTCAGGCAAATCGTTCATCTCTCTAAGTCACAGTTTCCTTCTCTGTGAAAATGCAGTAACTAATACCCATCACAGTGGTACTGTCAGCATCAAATGAGATTAAGTATATAAAGATGGTGCCTGGTACATAGTAGGGCCTCAATTCATTCTAGCTCCTTCCCTGTCCCTTTCCCAGTGGTATACACTGAATCTCCCCTCACTGGCAGGGAGAGGGAGCTTGGGGGGAATTTGGGGTGCAGGAGTACCCAGCATTCCATACACCATGAATCTATGCTTCCTGTCGTCCTACCAAGAAGTCTGGTTTTGCTTTGCAAGGACTCTCTTATTTGGGGGGAGGAGGGGGGAGAGTTATGGCTTTGCTTCCTGGGCCACCTGAACATTCCAGAGAAATATCCCTTTTCTTTACCATTTCCCTTCCCTGTGGCTCTCAAGTTTGAAAAAGCATTATTGTTTTGAAACCTGTATGGCTTCCTGAACCAATGTCACCCCAATAAATTCAATAATAAATAAATAAATAAATAGAAATTAAAAAGCATTATTGTGTGTGTGGTGGTTGTGAGATGGTGATGGTGGAGCTGGTAGGAGGTGGTGATGGTATTGGTGGTGATGGTGGAGCTGGTAGGAGGTGGTGATGGTATTGGTGGTGATGGTGGAGGTGGTGATGATGGTGATGGTGGTAGTGATAGAGATGATGGTGGAGGTGATGGTGGTAGTGGAGGTGGTAATAGGAACTCATTTCAGAACCCTATGCTCAGATTTTGAGCGCTAGATGAGAGCTCAGTTCCAGGTAATCAATTGAGAGCCTACTATATGGTGGGCCCTGTGGTGCTTACTTTATTTCCACAGCAATTCACAGAGATTATTATCTCCTTTTGCAGATAAGGACACTGAGGCCAGACATAACAAGTGACCTGGCTACCGGCTCAATCTAATAAGACATGGAGAGGCACTTAAACCTTATATCCTATGACTCCTAGCCCCATGTTCCTTCTCTATGTCATCATGGAACCACCCACATTTCACAGTAGGGGACATGGAAACCCAGGGAGGTTAATTGATTTGCCCAAGGTTATGCAGCAGTTTGAAGCAGAGCCTGACTGTTTTCTCTGCACTTCTAGGTCTCAGCAGCCTTCCCATCATCAGGGACTGGGTCTCACTGGGGAGACCAGTGCATTACCCCTCACAGCCCTGACAGAGGCCCAGAGCCCAGACCTCCTCAGGCCCCTAGGGCAGGCTCTGTATTTGCTGTCCTCCTGACCCTGTACACTGTCAACTCTAGTCTCCTCCTCCAGCCTCAGAGTGAGAGTGACAGACACCCAGCTGCTGCCTGACCCATTATTCTTGACATCTCCTCCCCCAGATCTGATGGTGGGCCTCCTTTGGCCTGCGCACCATGGTGCAGCAGCTCTGACTGGCACTGAGGAGGAGGGACAGGGATGGCATCCTCTACCCTCATCCCTGTCTGAGCTCTGAGGTAGTGAGCTTGGGAGTCTGCTCATCTTGCTCTCTTCATCTTTTTCTGGTCCTGGACCTTAGTCTCTTACTCAAAACAATGGATAGCTCCACCTTGACCCCCACCCCAGGAGTTAGAGAGAAAGAATTGTGCCCAGGCTGCATGTTGTCTTTAGACTTCCTCCCCCAGGAAGCCTTCTGGATTCATCCCACACAGTTCCACTCTCTCTGACCCCTCTGACCATCCCTTCAATCTCAAACTAGGTGTCCGACTCTAAGTCTGAGTCATCTGATGGTGATGTTGGAGGTGGGGGAGGTGGTAACGGTAGTAGTGATGGAAATGGTGATGACAGTGGTGGAGGTGGTCAAGGTGATAGTAATGGTAGTAAAGTAGTAGTAATGGAGGTGATGGTGGAGATGGTCGTGATGGTGGTGGGGAGGGTATCTCTTGGATGATCAGAGTAAGGTAGGGCCTCCTGGAGGGAAGAAAGTTGACAGGTCACTACCTTCCTCTACATCTTCTCCCACCTTTTAAATAATATCTACTATTTCTTGAGTGTCACCCGTAAAACAGGTGTATGCTCAGTACTTTATACGTAATAATTCATTTAACCCTCCCAACAATCCTATGAGGCAGGTACTAATATTTTAGAGATGAGACAGCTGAGACACAGAGAGGTTAAGTCACGTGCCCAAGGTCATACAGCTAGCAAACAGCAGAGGGTAGACTCAGCCACCTCCCACTCCAGAGTCTGGACTCCTGCTCTCTACTTCTGTCACCCGAGCAGAGCTCTACACATGGAGGAGAGCTGTCCTGGTAAGTGTGTGGGGGGTGAGGCAGAGAGGTGTCTTTAGGGGACTCCACCATCATGGGGTTTCCATGCCATTCTGACTATCTTCTTGCCCCCACCTCTCTCAGGAGCTCTGACAAAGGAGATGAGGATCGTGGATGTGGGAAAGGGGCTAGATTCCACCAGGTGGTGGCCACAGAATTGGCGGTGTGGGGCGCTCTGCCTGACCCACGCAGGGCACTCACTCCAGCTCCTGGCTAGTGCTCCTACCCTTGGGAGTTCCATCCTGCCAGCCTCCCTCCCTCCCAGGATCTCATTATACCCCTAAGAGAAACTGACAGCCTCAATATCTTACTTTGCAAATATAGTTTATTCCTTCAATAAAGCCGCCTGCGCAGGGGAATGTTTAAGCCCCGCTCTCCCCCGAGAGCCTCATTTGAATTTCTAAAGTCTTTAGTCGGCTCCTCCAATGGGGCAGCTGGGTAATGAAACGCAGCCGCTTATAGCAGGGGATTCATTTCCTGTCCGGTCTGATCTCCGCTGCCAGCGACAATGGACCGGCCCAGGGAAAGAAGAACTACTGGCTACCTGGATGCTGGGGTGGGCGGGGGCAGGGAGGTATTGGCTGGGGCCTGAGCACCCAGGGACCCACAGGTTTTCTATGCCCAGCGGCCCCTAGACAGCGTCCCTTAGGCCAGGTGCTCCCCCAGGGGCCCAGCCCAGGAATCCCTGGATGGGAGGCCGACTCCCTGGTTGGACCCTCTAACTCCAGGGCAGCCCCTATCTCGGGCCCCCATGGGAGTCTCTAATTAAAGGACTGGCACGCCCCTTGGGGACTCATTAGGCCCGCTGTGCAGAGAACATTTAATCATTGCTCAGAGCATCGATTGGAAAATCAATTTCTTTGTCTCTCCGCACGCGGCACTGGGAAAGTGGGGGGAGCGCTGACCTCCTTCTGCTGCCATGTAAAGTGCTGCACATTTAATCAGGGAACAGAAATCAATTAGCCACTTACGAGGTTGGCTTTAGTTACCGAGTCGGCAGGGCCCGCGCCCCAGCTCAGCCGCTGACAAGCGAATCTCCTCACACACACACCGACAGGCCGCTCCCAGGCATCCCACCAGCTCTCCAGGGGTCCCCTCCCCACCCTAGGCACCCAGCCTTCCACACAGGCCCCCTAAGGACCTCAGTGAGGTCCTAGGAAGGCTCCCCAAACCCCAAGCTCACGGTCACAGCTTCCCTGGATATCCCCCTTTCCCAAGAACCCAGACTCTGAAAAGCCAAGTGGAGACTCAACAGAGGCCCATTCAAACCTCAGCTTTGCCTCCTGCTGATTTCTGTGATTTCTGTGATGTCTGGGAGGCTTCTTAACCACAAAATGGGAATAATAATAGTACCTACCTCACCAGAATGGGGTGAAAATTCAGTGACATCCTCTAAAGTGCCCATGAAAGAGTTGAAGCTCAAGGAAGAGAACTTGGCACTCACAACAGTGAGTCCTTCCAGCCCCACAGTCAGCCAGGTCAGACAAGGAACAGTGTGAGTGTGGGCTGGGGGGCTCTGGCCACTTGCTCCCCTTCACGACAGGCAAGGTGAGCCCAGTGCCCCCCTCACCTCTCCCACTTCCCCATCGCCTCCTGGGGGCTTGACTCTGAGTCACCTCTGCACCCATTCTCCCCCTCCTATCCGTGCCCCCCCACCCAGCCACGCATCTGGCTGCCCCCTCACCCCCATGCCTGCCCCACACAGCGCAGGGGGTACAAGCTTTCCAGTGCCGTCTCACACACCCAGAGTTATACACACCCGATTACACAGAGTTGTACACAGTCTGCATGCCCCATTACACACAGCTGTGCAGAGTTCCTCCCACAGTGGCAGTCACAGAGCTCCGGTGCACTCGCACACACCTCCTTCACACACAGCCGCCCCCGCGGCTGCTCGCAAGCCCACGCACCCTTGCCCGAGCTCACGCGCGTGGGCTCACCCATGGCCCCCCACCCCGCAGAGTTGCATACCGGCGGCACTCGCACTCACTCGTGCGCACACGCACACGCACACTCACACCCATTCCGTAATAATATTAGACATGCCATTTCTTTTTCATGACAGTTCCAGTGGAGATGCTCAGAGCTGTCACTTGGATGAAAAATAATGCATAATCCTCGTCTTCCTTCCTTCCCTTCCCTTTCTTTCTTCCCTGTTTAATGAGCTCCTAAAAATATTCCTTGCTGTCTCGCCGAGGCTGTGGGCTAAGTGTGAGTCAAGCCTCCCTACTCCCTCCCATCTCTGTTCCTTCCCTTGGCCCCTGAGTGGGCCGCAGGATGAAGGGTCACAGCATGTCAGGGCTCGGTGGTGCCAGGTTAGCAGAAGGGCTCTTTCCCAGGCCTTTTAAGATCTCTGACTCCTGCTCCTCCCCCTGAGGCAGGTGAGGCACCCGTGGGAGCAGAAAGAAAGGCAGAAGAAGATTTTCTGAGGTTCCTGACCACCCTTGGCAACCCCCTCCTCGACTCCTGATCAATTTCACAGGAAATGCCCATCCATCATCCCTCCAGCTTGGGGGGGGGGGCAGTTAGCCAAGGTCCCTTCTTTACCTCCTTGTACACCTGCTTCATTCTCAGAACTCAGAGAAGGAGGAAGGACCCCTAGACCCCCCTGTGATTTTACTAGCACCTGAGCCTGGCCCTGCTGGGAAAACTGCAATCGTCACTGCTTCCTCCAATTCATCCTTCAAGCCCCAGAGAAAAGTCACCTCTTCCCTGAAGCCTCCCTCATTCACATAGAAGTAGCTATTCGTTCACTGTACATATTGACACACTTTAATAATATTGAATTTACTGAGGAGAGGCAATCACATGTCATGCCTGGTGGGACCTTTGTCTCTCTGTGGGACTCTCCACCCTGCGTTTTGCTTCCTTATTTATGTGTGTCACTCCCACCATATCTGAACTCCTTCAGGCTGGGAACCTGGCTTGCCTCGATGGATGGATGGATGGATGAATGGATGGATGGATGGATGGATGGATGGATGGATGGATGGGAGGTGATGATTCAAGGGCCTGGATGTTCAATCAGTTTCTGTGACATTCACTGTGACTTTGGGAAAATCAAAAGCCCTCTCTGGGCCTCAGTTTCCCCATATGTAAAATGGGAGAGCTGGGCCAGGTGGTGTCTGAGGTCTGTGGCAGCTCCCTCCAGTAATCTTCTTTCTGCCATTCTCTGCAGTGTCAGATGGAATAAACCCGTCTTTAGCCTTTAACATCCCATCCTCTGTGCATGAGGGGCTGGGTATGGT